TTTTAGAACATAAATATATGCTTTCTTCGGGCATAAAATATGAAGACAATGTGATTTCCTACCAAATGAGCAAAAAAGCATACTTGTGTGCATGTCTTCTATAAAATATATTTAAATTTATAAGACCATCGAAAATCAATAGGAAAAATGCATGCTACTTAAGTAGTCATTTTTTACCGAGTGTGGTTTCTGTAGGAGGTCAAAAAGAGTTGCATTCAAAAGCCGACATCCTGGCGAGTCCGACATACTAAAGGACTATGCTGCATGATAGTCAGTGCAACAACCCCACTTAAGTAGTCCTTCCTAATCGGAAACGCATTCCAGAATTTCAGCCAACATTTCATGAGATCCGTCACACACCGTCTGTCCCACTATACCGTGCGCAAGTCACAGCCACTGTGCTCACTCTGTTAGAGACACACGATGGACGTCGTGTGGGACGACCAAACTATCAGATGGACATCTGCTTGAAAGGACAATAAGTGAAGAGAGCTAAGGAGGTCGTATGTCAGTGCAGCCCACGATCGGTGTTGTTGTCGTGTCTCGCCATGTGGCTACGAAATCGAATTCATTACATGCCTCCGCAATGTGGGTAGCGACTTGACTCAACTCAATTTACGCTCGCGTACTCGTCCAGCCCGTTCGTGGTCCGACGCGAACAATTACAGGCACGACTGGAACACAGGATCTGATATCAGTCATCGATCCGCACAAGTCCTTCGCCCATCCAGACTTCAGGTCGACGAGTAGTATTGGCGGTGTATTCTGTCGCATTTTTAACATTTGAAAATGTTTTATAGGAGCCGATTGGGTTTTTGTGGTTATCCAATCTGTTCTCCATGTGTTAGTCGGAAGCGTCATCTTACGAAGATTCAAGGGTAGCCATTCCTTGCACTTATTCCCGCGGGTCGCTGCTGTTTTTATTTACTTTGCGACCTCGTAGATGATCGCCCATCTGTAAGGGGGGGGGGGAGCTGTGACATCTGTCTCGAGTTGTGTGTTAATGCGTGTTTCACATTTGCATTCAGATGTGAGACTGGACGGCACCAAGCTGGACGCTGACTCGGATTCCGATGACTCAATGTCCACTGCATCTTCCATGGCTACGGCTGCAGCCGAGGCAGCACAGCCTGCACGGCCGTTGCCACCCCATCGTCCGGTCCTGCACTCCGACCCGAAGAATACTCCCCCATCACCCTCCTCGCGACAACCTGCCACTGCCAGTCGCCTGCCCGCCGGCAAAGCTGCCCCTGCTCCCACAGTGTTTCGCCGACCCCGCGGAAGACCGCCCCTCCTGCATCGCCGCGCCCTGCCCTCCCGACTGGACGACCGGGCGAAAATTGCCGTCACGGCCTCCGCCACCGCCGCCACCTCGAAACGAAACAGTCTTCTTGGCGGTCACCGGAGGGGCAGGCTGGCCAGACGGGGTACTCCTGCCTTCTCCTCTTCCTCCTCGGCTCGTCTTTCACGTGGTGGTGGCCGCCGCGCCTCGCTTTCTAGTCCGCCGAGTACGCAGTGAGCACTGCGGAACCACATCAGCGGCGGTTGCTGCGTATCCCAGTCACGGCGGTGTCGGAGCATCAGTTTTACCCCTCCCACCGCCGCTACCTGTAATCTAGGAATATAAGCACAGTTTGTCTGTATATTATAATCTACTCTTGTTTGTGTTTGCGTTTTGTCGGCTTGTCCGTGTTGTAGGCTCGTGCTGACGCACACACACACACCTGTTTTAATCATACCTTTTCTTTCCTCTTCATCTTTCACACTCACGCTCCGTCCCCCTTTTTGTTACTTGTTTAACGCTCAATCCTAACTCGTTAGCCTTGTTTTCTACTTACTACCAGTACAAAAAACAAAGAATACGTTCGCGAATACGCGCAGTTGTCTTTATAGTTTGCTTATTGGCAGGGTAGGCACGCGGTAGTCAGCCTTGAGCTGACCAATCGGAATTTAAATGCGAGCCAAGGTTCGGGGCTGCTCAGGGCTTCGGCGGTGGGTTCGGGTGGTGTTGCAACATCTTCCCCTCCCCTCTGTCTTTTTGATGCAAGTGTACTGGAGCAAAATGGGGTCTGACTGGCTCACTTCACGAGTTTATCGCTCAGCGTAGGGTTTGCGGGAGCCCATAACTACTGCCGTAAATGCGTGCGGTAGCATGTCCTGTTCGTAGGCCGCGTCAACCACTTCCCCTAAACTCCTTTACCCCTTGGCCGGCAGGCTCAGACAAACCAATGGTGCATGGGAGAAGGAGTAGAGAGTGATGTCGACACTTGGGATTAATTCGTCCCCACAGCCTATCAACGCATTTCTCGCTACCATGAGTCTGGTGGACTTGAATCTATCACGGCGCACTACCAGTCGAGGCTTAGGAGGTTGCCAACTAACGGGCTAACTCGGTCCTTCGCAGGGCTGAGAGTCAGGTTACAATGTCGTATTCTCACTGTGGCGCTCTTTTGATATCAGGGTCGTGTCGCCATTGCAGTAGCTGGGTACATCTATTGAGGGCCGGGTCGTGTGCGACGCACACGGACGGGCTGTTTAACTTGGCCGGTCGTCGCACCCACTTTCGGTAGTCTCCACATGGTTCTGTCATCGGAATAAGGTGGATGGGAAGGAGAGGGGGGAGGGTGCGCTTGCTGCTTCGCAAGTCGGCGGCGGTGGTCGTCACTTGCTACGACCGAACTATTGTTGTGCCACTTCTGTCTGTCGGAAATGAACTGGGGCGTTCAGGACGTTCGCCGACCTGGACCTTTTGGCCGCCCTCGTGCTAGAGAAGCCCGCATGTAGCTCACGCTGCAATAGAGAGGCCGAGTTGTGCAGCGCCCGGGTCTGTCATCTACTGTTGCGTGGATCGCGAGGTCCTTTCTGAACTCGGGGCTCACCGTGCCGTGAGTGTTCAGGACCGGTCGCGCACAGTCTGGCGCAGGGAGAAGTCTCCCGCCGTCCATGTCGTCAACCACCCGACGGACTGACGACGGCGTGGTTTAGGCCATGTCCCTCCGTTGCTGGGGCTGCGTTTTTCGGCACGAGCTTTGTAGTTGGAGCCAACCGCGGGACAGAAACACATGTTTAGCTGTGAAGGTGAGTGAACAAGACTTGTTGAAGAGGCCAAACTTCTGTGAGGGGCGGGGAGGGGAGGCGGCTGCTGCTGCCGGCTTCGATCTGTTCGGCCACTCCGTCTGCGTTGTATTGCAGTCCTGTCTGGTGCGCGAGCTACAGCATGTCCGTTGTTGCTGCCTAGCTCTCTCCCGTCCGTTGCCGACCGCTGGTGGTCTCGCGTGACCTTTGCACCCATTGCGATCGGTGTAGTTGCAGTACAATCAGCGTGCCTGTTGGACTTCCAATTGTCGCCCGGTGGACCGATCATTCGTCGCTGCTCGTGCCAATTGATTTCGGTTCTGGCGCGCGCCAGCCAGGCGGTCTCATGCTGGTCACATGATCATCGGCTCGCCCATGCGGGCACCAGCAGGTCGGCTTGCCCGGACTCGGCAGAGCCGCGTTGGCAGCGTCTTGCAGGCCGGATACCGGCCCGTAGCTCGGCCAGGCGTACCAGTCGAGGAACAACTTTCTGGCGCCAGTCTGGCCGTTTTCTCATCGCAACGGTTGATACCCCCGTTTTCACAGAGTCGAAACTGATTTGGGTGTCGTATTTGGCCGTAGATCAAAGACAGTTTGTCCTCGCGGTTGGTTACAAGCTGCCGTTCTTCGAACTTTGACCTTTTCACCGACTTAGCTCACTTTGCACTGGCGATAGGGAGCCAGGATTTAGTTTTTCGTTGCACGACGTGGGTTACCTGTGGCAATTTCATGCATAGGATTTGGGGTAGCCGCCGGCTCCACACGGAACCTGTAAATACTTAATCTCCTCTTCCCCTCCTCCTTCGTTGTTACAGTGCGCTTGAACGAGTTGGAAGACGGTCCTGACAGAACTGTACTTGGGACCAAGAGGTTGGTTGCTTCTGAAGTGGAGGATTCGCCGAGTTACGATTGTCCTACGATAGACCGTTGTCCATGTTTCCCCGCCCGTCAGCTTCGTGGCAAGTACGCCAAGGAGGGGCAGCTGGTCGTTGGCCTCCTCTTCCATGGTAAACTGCATGCCGGGGAAGACTGAATTCAACAATGACTTAAAAGGCTGCACGTCGTTCATTTTGATTGCGAAAGAGAAGTGCATATTATTTTGAAGGCATCAAACCGAAACCCTCCACTATGACGGACTTGTTGTCGACGTATCTGGCTCCGAACTTTGAGGTGGGAGGGAAGGTACCAGATGGAGACCAGCCGCTCGAGACTGTAAAATCGCCACGGGAATTAGTCCGGTATGGACTAAGTATATGCGCGGGGTGAAAAATGCTAAATGTTGTTTAACAAATTCAACAGCGTCTTACTGACCGACGCAGACATTCCATCTAACAATATTCTGATGTGGGTGCTGACGCCTCTTTCAAAAAAGGCTGACGGCTGGAGACGGCCAAAGCAGACGGATTGTTTGGAGCTGGAAGCCTTTGGTGTGGGGAAATAAGACCATCAGCGTTAGCGCGCAGGACAATGTCGGTTGGTTCGGTTATGTCTGCACACCGCTTATACCCTAACAACCAGAATCCCAAGGAACTTATGTAAGAGCAAGGCAGCATACTGAACTAACGTTTCACGTTATGCTGTTTGCACCCATCATCCTAGATGTGATTTCGGCAAAGCAGAAGCCTAGAACGACTCTAGATCCAAAAACGCGATTTTGGAGTAGGAATTAATCGACTTCGTTGTTTTCTCGTTAAACCCAACTCTCTGCCACCGAACCATAGGCCCGCTTTCCTGCCGAGCTCCCATCGGGTATATGGTGAGGACTAAATCTATGGGCGGGGTAGGAAAGTGTCGACTGTTGTTTAACAAATTCACCAGCGTTTTAACACTCCTGTTTTCTGGCAGACGTATACATTCCATCTAACAATATTTCGAGTACCGAACATTTTTAAAAATTAGCTTTCCTCTTACTAAAAAATACCGTGTGGGGTGTGTAGAACAATGGACCAGTGTAGGCATTTCGGCAGCACCGACTCCTCGAGACGGTACAGGTCGGCGAAGATCATCCTGCCGACGAAGGGCCGACCGAATAACTCTGCCGAGCAACACCCACTTTTAAAAATACCGTAGACGGCTCTCCATAGTTCTACCTTACCCCGCGCATATACTTAACCCTTGTCACTAGTCCAAACAGAAGCGAGCCTATCGGTGCCCCTTTGCTCCTAGGCCTGGACGTTGAGAGAGAAGTGAGTCTAAGTCACAGTTCTGGGAGCTGTGTGTTGCATAGTTATCATATTTTTCTCGCAGAAGAGCGCCAACGCTGCTGGTGGTTAGGTCGGGTAGAATAGAAGTGAATAATAAAATGGCGTCGAGCTTACACCACCACTTCATATGCCGCCAAATGTAGGTGTTGAATACCTGCCAAGGACTCTTCAGCTGATTTTGCTGCCCACTCTGAATTCTTGGTGAGAAAACAAAGTCGCTGGTACAGCCACTTTGACAGACCAAAGGCTTGGATGTCGCGCAAGGAGACGATGGGGAGTAACGGAATTCCCGGCGTCTGCATCTTTCGCAGGCCGTGGAAGTGCGGCATCAGGGGCTTTTTTGGCCAGTGCTTCCGTTTCCGTAAAGACTTCCGCCTTTCTCAGATTGCCCAGCGTTCTGTTTAAGCTGTTCACAAGTTTTCTGAACTCGTCGGCAGTCGATGGAGCATGAGGTTCCCTGTCTATCAAGAGATTCGCCAGTTTCGTCTCGTATCCGCTTTTATCCATGGCGACTGCCGAACGCCCCTTGTCGGCAGATAGAATGACTATAATATCCACCTTCTCTGTCCCCAGAAGTTCTTGATCATCTGCCTCGGAACTCGTCATCCTACACTCGAAACTCACGCCTAGACAACGAGCAAAGTTAGGGATCGATAGAGATGAAATGAATGATTGAATCTGGTACACAAGCGAGTTTGGGGGCTTGACGACAGTGATAAGAATTTTTCGAACCAGAGGAAAGGCACACGCTGCGACCTCTACTGAGATACAGTTTGCTAGGTTTGGTTCTGCAGCCCCACTTGAGTGATATCATATGGTTAGCTCACTAAAACAATTTTAGTTAACATACCTGACGTACCCACTCGCTGGACTCTGGATTAGGAAGGGAAAGAGAGTGCGAGCAGAGCTCGAAGCTTGCGCAGAGAAGCGAGTGAAGGTAGCCTGTACGCACTCCCCCCCCCGACACAGCCAATTGTTACATTACGAGGATATGGCGGGTGCAATCACAACTGGACGGCCACCGAGAGTACCACGTGGTAATTCGCAGTGCATGGCCACTGTAGTGGAACCGACGGAGTTCCATACCGTCGGAACAATTCCATTAGCATGGCTACTTGGCCACTCGCTGGATTAGGATAATGAAGAGAGCGCAAGCAGGGCTCGAACCACGCGGAGGAAAGCGCGTGTGAACTGATAACTGAAGTAGCCGAGGCTTGCGTATTTGTTCTCCTCCTCCCGT